AAGTGGAATTTGTTCCCATGTCCCTCTTATCTCAAGTTTACTCCATGGAAACATACAATAAAATTAAGGAGTGCATCTTCTTCCAGATTCATTCTCACAAAGATTCGATTTCCAAAGGACGATTTTGCTCTCTTATAGGGCTTGCAGTCGATGCCTCCTTCATCTCACCGAACTTCATCACAACAACTAAATTATTCTCGATGTTGTATGAGATGGGCTACACAGAGGTCCTTAGAACTTTCACCAAGTTTAAGAATTCGTGCCTACCTCCTCAATGGAATGGGTTGCTCACCCTTCTTCACAGAGGTTTGGCTGAACGAGTTGGTGGCTCTGATAGTGCTTTATGACGATAATGTATGAATTAATGATGGGATTAACCTGTACTACGAGTCGTTGATATGGTCCCAACTAGTACCGAGTCTGTCCTCTTCAACCAGGAACTTTGAAATTTCATGTGGACGATTTTGGACTATCGTCGCACAACGGGCTATCACATCCCTCAATGTACCAGTCATGAAGGATTCTTTACTTTCCTCTATTTCCTCTTTTCATACAAAGAAGATTATTGTGTGTGATCCAACCAAGTTCTTGCACAATGGGTCCATTCCAGAAACTATGTACTGTTCTGACTCTTTAGAAAGCAAACTCATTTATGATTATAAATTGCTTCCTCCCAAGAGCCCTCGTCAGTTAACTCCAGAGATGCAAGCTACCTTGGACGAGGTGGAGAAACTGGCGAAGCGAGGCAAGAAGGAAATCTTCAAGAAAGAGGCAATAGAAGAACCCTCTTCCAAACTGACTAAGGCAAAGAAACGAAATGCTAAGAAGGGTGATTCCTCTGCATCCAAGAAAATCAAGAAAATGGCTCGCCGGGCGCGAACTCCTTCTCTTTCACACCAAGCATAGAGACAAGAGTAGTCTGCAGAAGAAGAAGAAGAAGAAGAAGAGCAACATGAGGGTTCACCCAGGGGAAACACACATCCTCAGTCTCCACCTCCGGTGGAAGTTTTAAATGATTCTGTTCCTACACCCCCTTCCTCTCCACCCAAGGCCACTGTTCCAGCTTCGGTTCCACCTCCACCTATATCTCAACCTGCTTCAACAATTTCTTCACCACTACTTGTTACTTCTCCTCCCATTATCACCGCTTCCATACCAACGCCTATCATCACCTCTACCGCAGACCCTTCTATCAACGTCAACACATCTGTTGTGGGGGCGAAGACTGAAGAACCCCTAAAAGTCACAACTGAACCAATTTCCCCAACTCATTCTGTTGATTCCAATCTAATTCTTGGAGGAGTTGAGTTTGAATTCGACTCCACTTACTATAGACCTTACCGAATCCCGAGTGAAGAAGATGAATCCACTCCTACAACCAAGAAACAAATCGATAGTGTTCATGAAAAACTTGATACACTGATTGATTCCACCAAAAAGTACAATGATGTTGTTCTCAAGGCGTTCATGGATACAACCCTTCATCAATATACTGAATCCATTTGATAAATGTACTACGGCGGTGGATGATTCTACTTCAATGTGCAAAAGAGCCACTTCTGAGGTTAAAGATCTTCTCCGTGATTCTGAAGTTTTTCTTGACTCTTTCAAAGGTCATGCAGATTCTAATACTGCTAAGGTTACAGAGCCTATTGGTTCGCTTTCTTAATTCCTTCAAACCGAACAGATAAAGTTTGAGACTGTCCGTTCTGACATCTTTGCTGATAACAAGACTTTCTTGTCTTCCCTTGATTCTCGGTTTGAAAAGCTCACATCTGATCTTCTCCTCGAAAGGCAACTTCGAGAGGATCTTGCACAAAAAAGTGATCACAATGTTGTATTGAAAGCTGACTTAGTCAGAGCAGAACGTGAGATCTCCTTGCTGAAAACCGAAAGGGCTGTGTTTCGTAGTTGTGTTGGTGATGTTCTGTCTTAGCTGCACAACGTGCTTCAAGCTCATGATCCTATTATCACGCTCACCATCCGTAATCATCTAACCTCCAAACTCCTTCCTTCGCTTGAACTCTTACGAGAAATGAAGGGTGTTTCGGAGAGAATTGTTTCTCCGCAACAAGGGGGAGAAGAAGAAAAGCCACATCCAATTCCTCTTAAACCGAATGTCAAAACCGAACCGAAGGATAAAGAAACTATCTCCGAGAAGAAAAAGCGTGTTATTGGTGAACACGATGTATTGATGAGGATCAAGAAACTATCTCCGAGATACTGAAACGCAAAAAGAGGGATGCAGAGATTGATGAAACCCTTCAGGTTGCTAAGGAAGCTGAGGAGAGAGAGAAGAAAAAGAAAGAAGAGGATGACGCACTCAGTTACAAGAAGATTTTGTTCCCTCCATGGACAAAGGAAACACTGATCAAGGAAGCTATAGAGTCTCCATGCAAACTTTGGCTGGAACCTGTAACTTCTTTTGACTGTGATAATACAAGGAATTCACAGTTCGATATGCCTATCACCCGAAAGGCAATCATTTTTCATTGCTTTGATTCAACTGCTGAAGTTCCCTCTCTTCATCCTCAAGTAGACCGTGAACTGATCGATTTCTATCTCAAGTTCGGTCAGCCTCAGTATCTGACCTGGAGTGCACAAAAGATTATTACTGTCAAGGTACTGAAGCCATCACCTGCAGGGAAATTCATCAACATTTCTTTCAAGATAACCTGAGGTTCGGATAACTCGGTATCGGATATCTCCCTTGCAGATCTTCCCAACCCGAATCCACATGATTGGATCCTGCTCTTCAATATTCTTCTTACCAATGCAAAAGAGTATGGACCAATTTTGGAGCACCTAAAGCGAATGATTGCTTACTATATTCACGAAGTAGCAAAAATGGATCAGAAGGTGGCCAATGCCCTAAGAAAGAAACCGACGGTGAAGCCAACTGCAAAACCAGGAGACGTCCACAAGATGACTGTCGGTCAAATCGATTATGCTCACCTGACGGTTATGTTTACAAGAGCCAAAGGATAAAAGTTTTTTTTTCTCTAGTAGACAAACACTTGTTCTCTACTGACTGCCTTGAGCACATTATAAATATTATTCATCGATGCAAGGTGAACTCCGAGTCAGATAAGAAGAACTTTACAGACATGCTCTGGTGGTACATTACTTTCAGACAAACTCTTATGGCCATTATACCGGGTGTGTTCAAGAATGTAAAGAAGACTATAGTAGCTCAACCGAACTGAGCTCTCGGCTCCATTGACGCAAAGGGGGAGATTGTTGAGTATTATGTGTTGCGTCATGGGCTGGTATTTTGTATATCCGGTTTGGGCCTGTTCAACTGTGATTAGGGTTAATGTAGTGTTATAAATAGTGCATGCATGTATGCCTTAATACGCTAGAAGTTTAATTATCATTTTGTATTGTAACCCTAAACACCTCTACAATCGAAGTTCTTTGTCGAGCTCTTCTGGGGTGTTAAATTTTAATCATTTGACATCTTTCAGATCATTCTTGTGTTCTTGTTATTTCGTTTATTATTTATATGTTTGAATCTATCGATCTTTAAGGAATATTATTCCAACAAACACAAACCAAAAAAATATTTTATTAGAAAAAAATATAAATAACAAATGCTTCAAAAATTAAATCAATTACCACATAATGCTAAATACAATTCACTACTATGAAGAAAAGCTTTATATCAAAACCACAATATCCCCTTATATACGATCATCTTCTTCGTACCCACAAAACCAAAATTTGCTCACCATGTTGAAATTGGCTAAAATCCTCTTGCAATTGATCAATAATACAAAACAAACATGTATTTTAGTGGTATGCTACATTTTTTCCCATCAAGTGTTCTATGGAAAAAAACCGTTGTGTATGCATAAAATATGTTTCTTTTTAATGAATGGTCTAAACATAAAGGTAAAATAGTCATTTACTCATAATTAGACGGTTCATTCCGACTAAAAAACCAACTCTATGTATACTCAAGTGTTTACAACTTTTTAAAACGATTAAACACTTTTTATTACAAAAATGGATCTATATTTTGGGGTACTAAATGAAAGAAGTTGAACACACTTTCATTTATTTGTATTTTATGTCATTTCATTTATTCTTTATGTCATTTCATTTATTTTTATCTTATGTCCATGGTACTTTTATTTCTTACCACTATAGCTTGTAATTTCAATAATTTTTTAAGATGTATTTTGAAAACTCTACCTAATGACAACATTTTCTTTCTTCATAGGATATGTACTTTGAAAAATTCTACCTAATTCATCTAGTTGTGTTAATTATACTTGTCAACTCGTGACCCGAATGCTCGACTTACAAGAGTTATGATATTCATAGAAAGTTATATAAATATAATACAAATATGAAGACATAATATTTGTTGATTAATCTCATGACTCGAATGCTCTAATTTGTAAGAGTAATGATATTCAAGTTATAAATATATAATACAAATATGAAGACATAGTATTTGATGAATATTAATAAAGTTCAAAAAATAATTTTCTTTCAAAACATTGTATTTTAGAAAATCTATTTAATTATAACATGGACTTTCTTTTTTCTTATGAGGACGTGTAGTTTGGAAAATCTACGCAATTATAAAATTGATTTATTTTATATTTGGATGATATTGTTATAAGTACGTAGATCTTTTAAAATACAAATAGGAACAAATGAAAATTAATGGTATATTAATAAACAAATCAATGAACATATGTTGTTATCTTTTGCATTTAAATTTTATTTGCCAAATAGTTACAAAACTTTTTTAACATAATAATTAATCACGAATTAACATGTCAATTTAACCTTACAAACTCCAAACTCCAATAAGATTCATATTTGCCTTTAAAATAGTCATATAGTATATAATTTTTAAATCTCAAAATTAACATCACATATATTCATTGGCATGTTGACAAAAAGAGAGCACCAATGTGTAGGAAAGTTTTAGCCAATAGCAAGTCGTGTTTTGATACCTCTTTTTAAAAGTGTTTATGCACTATTAAATTATCAAAATTAGATTATACAAAAGGATGTTCGGAACTTTGTAGTGTGTGTTATACAAAGATAAGCAACTTCAGAAAGTTCTAACCTTTCGAAGTCGTAGGAACCACCACAATGTGCATGGTGGTGTCGTTGGGTGGCAACGCTAACCGGAGTGGAAAAAGCTTCCCATTCAACGAATTCCTCGAGCACACAATTATATCATTAATCTCTGTTTGTTCTTTCAAAATCCGAGTCAAATCCTCTAATCCATTTCCCTTGAATACAAACAATGTTTCTTCATGACCATCATCAACGTTCTCATCATCATCATCCACCACCGTGTAATACACCATCCTTCCTTCTTTGCAGTCGGTAGATCATTTTCTTGCATTTTCAAAAACACATGGCGCATCACACCAAGGGAGACAAAATCGCAAATTCATCGAGCTTGAAATGTGTAGCAAGGGATAAATAGTTGAATGAATCACAAGAAAGATTGGATTTAAGATGTGGGTTTCAAGTTTAGCTTCACAAGATTGAAACTTTAAATGCAAATTTACAGATCGATAGATTTCTAATGAACTTTGATAGTGAGCCAAAGGGATGAGAGCACCGGCTACAATGTATTAGACCGGAGGGTATGAGAGTGATGTCTCCCTCATTATTTTTTTATTTTTTTTAAATATATTTCATACATATGTTATACTCATTTTGTTGGGAATTAAAAACCATAAATTTTAATATATTTTTTTAGTAGGGATATAATTTTATAAATATTAAAAAAGATAAAAAAAATTGTCCAATAGCAAGAAGAGAGAGAGTGTAGCACCCCCTCCCCCACCTCTTTCCCACCGGTTGCTTCCCTTACCCAAGAAATGATGTTTCAGAGTAAGGGAAGCTTCCCTCACCCCTTTCCCGCTCTCATTCCGTCCAGCCTTAATGTCAATCACGTAACCTTATCTTATCACCCTTACCAAAAAATGTGTCGGTAGTATTTAAAAGGTATATTTTTAAATAATTTTTTATAAGTAAAATTTATAAAAATGATCAAAAGATGTCACTAATAAGTTTATAAAATAAAACAAAAATACAAAACCTAAGTAATATAATTATGGTTTATAAGATGTTTCCTACCGATTTTGGTTGTTTATTGTTGAAGGAGGAGGTTACAACCAATGACAACCTATTTTTTGGCGAATTCGAATTCATTTGCGGAGATCCGGTATCTGGCGATCCTACATAACTGTCAGCCACTGATGAAAAACTCGATAACGTACTCATTACAGAATCAGTATCTGACAACAATATGTCAACGATATCAACCTCCCACAACACCCAGTCTTGCGTCGCAGTTCGATGAGGTACATCATGTGTTATCGAATTCCTCCAAGGTGGAGCTCCGCCATTTGCCCTCAAGAATTTCCCATCGTATGTTTGAAGCTTTATGTGAAGCGCACTTTCCCTTATCGGCTCCCATTCTGTTGTATGATCTGGCACTTTAAAAGAATAATGTTTTACCTTTTTTCCAGTCATACCAAGCAGAAACGCCTCATTTGTTGCACTAAGGTACAAGCCATCACAACTCTTTAACCGAATGACATTAGGGTTATTTTCAACGTACTCGACAGTCCAACGTGCCTTGATAGATGACGCGTTGCGGCTTTGTCGAACAGTTTCTTCGTCATCATCCGCCACTAGATATTTGTTGTGGAAACCTTTTAGTCTAACTGCTTTAGCTCCATGAAAAAACTCCATCCCGCTCTATACAGACAACATATAAGTTCAATAGATGATAAAATTTAATAGTTTAGGGTAAATCGGTAATTTGGAATAGTATTTTAGTTTTTTAATTTGAAAATGGGTAAAGCGGGTAAAAATTAAAAAAGTGTTTTACCCGTCTTGAGCTTACACGTGGCGACCCTTTATAAGAAACCTCAGACATGCGACTATCCGCCCTAACCCTCGATATCTCCGGCGCCGACGAAAAGCTGGATGCCGGCGATAGATTACTTGCCATCGACTCTTGTGAATCTACAACAGCGATATCAACCACTTCCACATCCCATAACACCCAGTGCTGGGTTGCCGTCCGGTGAGGCAGGTCATGGGTGACGGAGTTTCGCCACGGCGGCATGGAGCCGTTACCTCGCAAGAGCTTTCCATTATTAGCCCTCAACTTCACCGACTCGCCTTCCTTAATCGGTTCCCATTCGATGGAGGTGTCGCGTTTGTTCGCCTGAATGTCTTGCACCACCTTCTTTCCTGTCATACCAGTCAGAAACGGTTCGCTGGAGGGAGTGAGGTACTTGCCGGAGGAGCAGCTTTTGAGGCGGATAACATGGTTTTTCCCTTCCACCGTCTCCACCATCCATCGTGCTTTCCTTGCAGATCCGTTTCTGCTTTGCCGGACGGTGTGTTCATCTTCGTCGGCGACCAAGAATTTGGTAAGGTGGCTCCGGAGTCTGACGACTTTGGCTTTGTTGAAAAACTCCATGATTTTTAGGAGATTAAAGAATGATTCATGAATGAAAAGGGCTAAATTGGTTCGATTCTTATGGAATCTTGTTGTTCTGACTAATCGTCGACGACTTTTTAGTGGGTTGACTAGGTGGAAATTTGCAAGTTGTAACGTGGAAGTTGGTGCAGGTTTTCAATCTACTCGGTTTGCTTACCAGGTCAATGTATTTAGTGATTTTGTCTCGCTGTTAAACTTCATCACTTCATTCATGGGTAATTCTATCACACTAATCCAATTCTTTCCACACCAAGTTTATATCATTGAACAATTTTTTTATTTTTGGAAATAGCAAAATATTATAAAAAAACCTCATGTCTAGCAACTAACTAGATGTGGCCAAAACTTAGAAGGTTACAAGATTAAACACAAACGTATACCATGGAAAAAACACTGTCTGCAACCTTGGAAGGGGAGGGTATCACCTTGTTGAAAACATTGTCATTTCAAGCCTTCTATAGATAGACATTAGATGAGACCATAAAAAATATATATGATTAGATTCCGTCTTGAGATTGTAAGTACTAACAAAAATAGTTAACAAATTGGGATGTCAAATGAAGTAGATAATTCTATTAGGGAAGAAGTTATGGCATGGGTGAGCAATTAATCTCTTCATGAATTGCCTAACGTCGAACATCACGAAAATAAGTGAAAGACAAAAGGTTGAATGGGTCAGAAACTTTAAAAGGGTTCATAACATCAGTTTTGTGGTATTACAATAAACGCATATCATAAATTCTATGTGTATTGATGTTGGGACGATATGGATTTTGAATTTGATTTCGTGAACACGGTTAGCAGGAGGTTTACTATGCATTTGGGACCAAAGCTTATGCATGAGGTCGGCTTCGCTAAATCAATGGACTTTCTAGCAACCTTTGGCTCATGGAAGGGTATATAATGGGAAACAACTTTTGTCAAGGTTTATGCACCACAAGCATCATCCGGAAAACAAAACCTTTGGACTAAGTTATTGGAATTAAAAAAGATCCAGACAAGGAAATTGGATTTTTTGGGAAATTTAATGTTGTAAGACGACCAAAAGAAATAATGAACTTTTATTTATACTAGTATGGGGGAGGTGATTTATGTACATGTGTGACGATGGTCTAAAACTTAGCAAATTAAATCGATTTCTGGTTTGCTCCAAAAACTCGGGCGTTCTCCTCGATTACATCACTTCATTAAAGTTTTACGATCACTCCATTGTTATTATACGACAAGTGGAAAATATTAGTTTTAAACTCCCACCAAATTACATGTGGCAAAACTCAGAGAGGATTCTTAAAGACGAATTGAGTCTACTTTTAACTCCCCTTGCATTAGCTATTTTAAATAGCCTTAAATAAAATATTTGCAGAGATTTCTTAGCTATTTTAAATAGCCTTAATAAAATATTAATCTCAAAGTTTCAAACAATAAAATAATTGGTAAAATTAAGAGTTTTCATATAGAACTTGGTCCCAAAACATAATTTCTATAAAATAGTTTGGAAACGTCATTGAGAGTGTAACAATACTAAGCAAAGATTTTAATACGTCAAATAAAGTCTTTACAAAACCAAAAAGTTTCCTAAAACATCCAAAGCTTTTAAATCTTCTTAAGCTTCTAACCAACATCGACTAACCTACAAAATGTATCAATGTAGTTGGTTGTGGGTTAAGCTATGGGAACCTAGTGAGTTTAATCTCGAGGTTAGACATTATATGGATAGAGTTCATTCATATGCAATAAATTAATCTTAATAGGCAATAAATATAAAAAAATCCAATAACCAACACAATGATTAGGTTTTTCAAGGAATTACCAGGTAACAAGATTATACACAAAGCAATGAAATAACAACAACAATCGGTCTAGCTACATGTTTTTGCCTAACCAAATGTACACCATAGAAACAACATCGTCAGCAACCTTGGTAGGGAAGGGTATCACCTTGTTGAAAGCATTGTCATTTCAAGCCTTCAATAGACACTAGATGAGACCATTGAAAATATATATATGATTAGATTCTGTCCTGAAATTGTAATTTCTACCAAAAATAGGCAACAAATTGGGATGTCAAATGAAGTGAACCTAAACGAGTATAGTATAATTGTTGTAAATAAGGTGTCAAACTCTCGGGGAACATGTATGACGAAAAAAAAAATCGTTAACTAATTGAAAAATTATTTAAAATAGGGGGGGGAGGGGGTTAAACATAACTTTGAATTATCAAACAAACAAAGGATTGATTGAAAATACTAATTGAAACACTTCTACTTAGATTTGAATCCCATTTTCTTATAACGATTTTGTTGATAGTGCAATGAATTTATAAATCTGTTAAATAAGATGATTTGCAATTAAGACCTAATACTAACGATTGATTGATGAGTAACTAATGTAATGGCCATAAAACTAGCAACCTAAAATTCAACTATATTAATTGCGTTGCTTAAGAATCAATTCAATGTTTAATATTTATTATTCATAAAACTAAATTTATATTAAGTTGTATCTTAACTGATTTATGAATAGTAAATGGTTAGGACTATTGATGGACAAAATCTTAATTGGAAGTGATTGTGTACGAATCTTAATTGGAAGTGATTCGTACACAACAATTTTTTGTCATACACAACAATTTATGTATTATAGGGTTGTACAATACAACACTTTAAAGCATAAATTGTTGTGTACGGAGAAAAAGTGTTGTGTACGAATCAGTTCCTTAATTGCTAACTTAAATGTATAAGAGAATATTATTCATATTCTGTTTCGATTGATTGTTATGATCACTGATGAGAAATTACTAAATTAATTCATGCATAATTCGAATATTTAAGTGATTATTTAATTAGTTAATTGCATGATCAATGTGTTAGCTTCTTATTAATTATTTGTAACAGCCGGATTTTTCAGGTATCTTGTATATTTGTATTTTTGGTGATTTGAGAGGGGACTCGGCGAGTTGGAGCTCAGACTCACCGAGTAGGGACGCGGATCTGGTCGCGGGATCGCGCCTGGACTCGGCGAGTCCAGGATATGGACTCGGCGAGTCAGCGCTGTGTAATGAAACCCTAATTTCTCGGGTTTGAGACCTATTTAAAGGGCCTAATGGCCGTCATTTGCGCTCACCAGTCCCTTGAGTGAAACCCTAATCGAGTGTGAGCATTTGGAGCTAAGTAGGAGGCCATTATTGATCTTGGAAGTGTCATTGTTGCAAGGAAGGAGAAGAACTAGCCAAGGGAAAGCAAGTGGAGCCACTTCTGAGGGTTTGGAGTCCAGAGCATCACTATTGTGGTAATAATTTCGAGTTACCTTCTTCCTTGTTGTTGTTTATCTAGATTTAGGGTTTGTTGAACCCTTTTATGGCAAGATCTAGTGTCCTCTTGGTCCCTTATGAGGTTTGAACCATAGATCTGGACCCTTAGAGGTCCAGAGTGTCCCTTTACCCAAGCTTTTTGGGAATCAATGGAGGCTTTGGATTGGAATCCTCATGCCTTAGGTCAAAACTCCATTTATGAGCCATGGGGTGTGTTATGGGCACCAAGATAGAAGCTTTACGTGATGAATCAGTCTAGGGAGGCCAGATCTATAGATTGTGGAAGCAGATCTGACCTTAGAAGCAAGTTGGAGTGGTTGCATGGCATGGACTCGCCGAGTCTGTTCATCAAACTCGGCGAGTAGTTTGAAGATTGCCTTGGGATTGCTCAGTGAGTGGTCCAATCGAGTCATGGGTAGACTCAGTGAGTCAGGGTGAGTTGGAGAGGGATGACGAGTGGACTGAGTCAAACTGGGACTCGCCGAATTGTTCTTGAGACTCGGGGTGGCCCCGCGATTCTTTCAGGAGAAACTCGTCGAGTAAGGGGGGGAATACTCGACGTGTAGTAAGGGAATTTCAGAGGGTTGGTGAAAACGTCTAGACTCGCCGAGTTGCCGTAGCACTCGCCGAGTCCGGTCAAAGTTGACCGTTGACCGTTGACCAGAGTTGACCTGTGTTGACTTCTTAGGGATAGTCAACCTTAGAGATAAAAAGTGTTAATTAGAGACATATAATGTTATAGGAGGATTAGAGCTCGGAGGATCGAGCACGAGGGATTTCCAGGATTCGTGAGATACCGAGATACGCGAGGTGAGTCTTCTCACTATACTTTACCTTGAGTAGGTAACCAGAGTTATGTGATAGAGTATTTGTATGCTATGTATGTTATGTGTTGTACTGCATTATTTCTATGTGATTTATGTGGTGCATGTTTATCAGAGCTAGAACCTGAGGGTTCACAGAGTTTGGGTGCACGGACCCACAGAGTTATAGCCTCGAGTGGCTAATATGTGTTATATGTGGTATTTTGGGGAACTCACTAAGCTTTGTGCTTACAGTGTTTGATGTTATTGTTTCAGGTACTAGTGACGACCGCGGGAAGGCACCGGCTTGATCCGTACACACACACTCGGAGTTTTTACATTGTGATCTTGGGATTTTGTATTGACCTATATTAGATAATTAATATGGTTGTTTGATGAATATTAATCGAATTATGTTTTATAAGAAAATTGAAAATTTTGTTTTGAAATTTACGGTGTTACATCATTAGTTCTAGTTAATCTATTCAAGGTAACTAGTCATTATAAAATCGGCAATAAACGTATTAAATTCAATGCACTTCTAATAAATCAACCATAGAAAATTAGGTGGATTCAGAATATACATGGAAGTACTTTAAAACTAATGTTCAAATTACGTTCTTTGCTTTTGTTACTTTTAAATAGTTGTTAATCAAGTTTAATTTAGTTTAAATAGAACCCCCCCCCCCCCCCCCCAAAAAAAAAAAAAAAAAAAAAAAAAAAAACTTTATGTTTCTAGTTTAATTAAATAGCTTTATTTTCTTAATCAAATCATACATGTTCCTACGTGCTCGACACCATTTCTTACCTTAAACTAAATTACGTCATGATTAGGTACATTGCCTATTGTGTTAAGACTAGTTGAGATTAGATAGAAATTATGAATTTAAAACTAGTGCATATAAAATAAACACTAAGTGGTATAGTTTAAGGTGAAGACCATGCAAACGTTAGATTTCATGGAGGAAGATGATGGCTAAGGAGGTTGTTT